CGCCGTGCACCGTGCGCGGAGCAGCCGCTGCGCCCCGGCCCGCCGCGCTGCGTGCGGTGGTCAGCGTCCTGAGGAGCTTGGTGAGCAAAAGCAAACGGTTTTTTTTTTTTTTTTGACGCGGTCTGCTTCCCGGGCTGGGAAGGAAGAGGCAGCCTGGAAAGAGAATGCTTTTTAGCTTCAGCAAATGCAGCCGCCGAGCCTCCCGCCTTTCGGAAGATGTGTCCAGATTCCCTTAAAGCATCGGATACTTAACAAAAGAAGCCGGCCCTGGGCCCGGGGTGTGCTTCAGCCCCACACCTGGGCGGGGCACAACAGGGTAGGTGTGCATCATCATCTTCAATTGCCAGCTGAGAAACTAAGGCAGACAAGAAGAGATACTTCCCTGTGCTCATACAACCAGCTCATGTTCTGATTACTTTCCATCAGAACATGTGTGTGTGTGTGTGTGTGTGTGTGTCTGTCTGTCTGTCTGTCTGTCTGTCTGTCTGTGTGCTGGTTCTGGGGCTTGAACTGTGTCTGGGCAATGTCCCTGATATGTTGTTGGGTTTTATTTTTTTTTTTCTCAAGGCTAGTGCTTTACCACTTGAACCACATCTTGGCTTTCTTTCCTTTTTTTTTTTTTTTGGTGGTTAATTGGAGATAAAAGTCTCACAGACTTTCCTGCTCAGGCTAGCTTTGAACTGTGATCCTCAGATGTAAAATTCCTGAGTAGCTAGGATTATAGGCATGAGCCATGGATTTCCAACCATTATAAAAAACATTTTCACTCCACATTTGACTCAATGCTAGCCTGCAAGAAGTGACAGGTGACACCTACACAGAATTTCTTCCAAGAAGTAGCTCTGAAGAGATTACCATAGTCCTTTAAAACAGGCATGTTCTTGGGCAAAATGACCATGCAATTACATGTCTGAACATCAGTGTCTTGGTCTATGAAAAGCAGAGGAATACTTCATGTCTGTGGAACCTCAGAGATGATTGGAGAGCAGGGGACTGGAGAAGAGAATTGATTAAAACAACAATAACCAAACACTAGTGGCATATGTATTGAAGGACTTCAGATCAATTTTGTTCCAACTAAGAATCCCTTAGTTTTTTTTTTTTTTTTTTTTGGTCATTCATGGGGTTTGAACTCAGGGCCTGGGCACTGTCCTCGAGCTCTTTTGCTCAAGGCTAGCGCTGTACTACTTTGAGCCACAGCATCACTTCTGGTTTTCTGGTGGTTCATTGGAGGTAAGAGTCTCACAGTTTTTCCTGCCTGGGCTGGTTTTGAACCGTGATCCTCACACTTCAGCTAAGTAGCTTGGATGACAGACAGGTGTGAGCCACCAGCGCCCGGCTCCTCGGATTTTATTTCTATTTTTATATTTATTTATTTATTTACAGAGTACCTATCATCAGATCCTTGTAACAATTCTGTAAAGGTGGGTGGTTAGATTAATCTATTCATTTGGCACTTGATGTTTGTCCAACTGGCAGAGGTAGGATTCAAACTTGGGTCTTCCATTTCTCACATGGCATTCCTACCAATTGAGCTATGCCGCAGCCCCTCAGAGCGCCTGTATCTGAGTCCTGTCCTTCTCCCACCACAGACTGGCAGTTCCTTAAGACCACAGGGCAGTTTCAGTCCTCAAAGTGTATTTAGATAGGTACTATAGATGAGTACAGTGGACTTTTTTTTTTTTTTGTCAGTTGTAGGGCTTGAACTCTGGGTCTGGGCACTGACCCTGAGCTCTTCAACTCAAGGCGAGTGCTCTACCACTTGAGCCACTACACCACTTCCAGTTTTCTGGTGGTTTATTGGAGATAAGAGTCTCACGGAGTTTCCTGCCCAGGCTGGCTTTGAACCGCCATCCTCAGATCTCAGCCACTTGAATAGCTAGGATGACAGGCGTGAGCCACTGGCACCCAGCTTCAATGGACAATTTTGAAACAATTTTTGGAGCAACTTAATAAATGTTCATCTAGCCAGGCACTGGTGGCTCACACCTGTCATCCTAGCTACTCAGGAAGCTGAGACCAGAGGACTGTGGTTTGAAGCCAGCCCTGGCAGAAAAGTCTGTGAGATACTTAGCTCCAATTAATCAACAAAAGCTGGATGTGGGGGCTGTGGCTCAGATGGCAGAGCACCAGGCGAGAACAAAATAACAACAACAACAACAACAATAATAATGCCAAAGCAGAGTGTGAAGCCCTGATTCCAAGCTTCAGTATTGGCACAAAAGTAAATTAATAAAATCTTGAAGATCAAGGAAGGTGGGCTTATACTGGTCTTTGAAAATAAATGTATGACTTGCACTGTTTTGTGATCACTAAAATAATCAAATAACTTTGGGACAAAGATGGCATTCCCCTATTCTTTCTATTAGAGAAGGCATGATTTTAACTTTTGAATGCTGGATATATATATATATATATATATATATATATATATATATATACATGTATATATATAAAATCATGCTAATACTGGGGCTTAAACTCAGGGCTTTGTGCCCTTGCTAACCTGTTGGCTAAAGTCACTCTACCACTTGAACTACACCTCACTTCCAGCTCTTTGCTGTTTAACTGGAGATAAGAATCTCACAGACTTTTCTGCCTGGGTTGGCTTCGAACCAGGACCCTCAGATCTCAGTCTCTTGAGTAGGTGGGATGACAGGTGTGAGCCACCAGTACCCGGCTTTCACTTCTCTTACCTATTTTCTTCTTGGGTTTGTTACCAGTGTTGTCTCCAAGGAATGAGGGCTGTCTTTTGGGTTACCTATTTATCAGTAACTAATTGCTGTAAATAAACCATCCCCAGGAGTACTACCTGCAGTCAACACTCATTTCTCCCATGGGGAGCAGGGGAAGGCTTTGGGGGTTTCCCCTTTGAGGTTCAGTCTTGGGCTGGTGATTGGAGGTAAGCTCACCCACACTCTGCTAGTGAACTAGGCTGTAAGCAGACGCTCCAGAGCTCTTTCTGGCAGTGGAGACATTTCCATATCTAGCAGCTGGATTCTGAGAGAATGGAGAGCCTATTCGAGCCTCATTTATTTTGGTCTGAGCCAATCACGGCAACAACTCCCCCAGCCAGATGGGAGAACTCTACCACAGGACATGACACGGACATAGACACGGACTGCCTTCTATTCAGCAAAACCCATTTCTTTTTTTCTTGTCGGTCATGGGGCTTGAACTCTGGGCCTGGGCACTGTCCCTCAGCAATTCAGCTTAAGGCTAGTGCTCTACCACTTGAGCCACAGCACCACTTCCTGTTTTCTAGTGTTAAATATTGAAGATAAGAGTCTCACAGACTTTCCTGCCTGGGCTGGCTTTGAACCAGGATCCTCAGATCGCAGCCTCCTGAGTAGCTAGGATTACAGGCGTGAGACACTGGTGCCTGGCTTGCAAAACCCATTTCTACATCCAGCAGTGTGCCATTACTTTCTGACTCTCACACACTGTTGGTATTCTTGCCCTGTCTAATTTAAACCATTCTGGTGAAGGTTGTAATGGTGTGTGTGTGTGTGTGTGTCTATGTGTTTGTGGGCTGGTCCTGGGGCTTGAACTTAGGGCCTGGCTTCTGTCCTTGACCTTTTTCATTCAAAGCTAGGACTCTACCATTTGAGCTATAGCTCCATTTCCAACTTTTTTTTTTGGTGGTTCACTGGAGATAAGAGTCTCCTAAACTTTTCGTCCCAGGCTGGCTTTGAACCTCAATCCTCAGATCTCAGCCTCCTGAGTAGCTAGGATGACAGGTGTGAGTCACAAGAGAGCCTATGGGCCACTCCTGTATCCTGCTTTTGAAATGATTTATAGGAGTTCTATATTTACAGCATCTGCATAGGAGCCATTGTCTTCTTACTCAACTTTCCCTCTTCAATTTTGAGTGTTTTGTAAAATACTTTTTTACAAAGGAGGTAAGATTTGAATAGAAACTTGAAAGGATGGTGAATAATTCAAGAGCAGGAAGGCCTTGTTAGAAAACAGACACAAACCCCAGTACTGGTGTGCGTGCTCTCTCTCTCTCTTTCACACACACACACACACAGAACATGTGATATCCCTCCTCCTCTTTCCCTTGCTAGGTCTGATTGTCCCCGTGGCCCCCCTGCTCCCGTGCGCTCAGCTGTGGCCAGCATGCTGGATGATGACACGGAGCTCCGGGCGGGCGGGAACTCCCTGCTGCAGGCCGTGCGGCTGGGGCGGCTGCGGCTCACCCGGCTGCTGCTGGAGGGCGGCGCGTACATCAACGAGAGCAACGACAGGGGGGAGACAGCGCTCATGGTGGCCTGCCTCACCCAGCACGAGGACGCACACAGCAGCAGCAGGTGGAAAATGGTGAAGTTCCTGCTGCAGCATCGGGCAGACCCCAACATCCAGGACCGGTCGGGCAAGACGGCACTGATCCACGCGTGCGTTGGCCAGGCCGGGGGTGACGTGGTGTCATTGCTGCTGGCCAGTGGCGCTGACCCCAGCCTCGAGGACCACACAGGGGCTTCGGCCCTGGTTTATGCCATCCAGACAGACGACAAAGACACGCTTCGCCATCTCTTGGATGCCTGCAGGGCCAAAGGGAAGGAAGTGATCATCATCACCACTGACAAATCCCCTTCAGGCTCCCAGACCACCCAGCAGTTCCTTCACACTGCCCTGGCCCCCAGGACGGAGGGCCGGCCGTGTGCCTCCCCTTCGGATGTGGAGCTGCAGGCCCCTGGCCTAGGGCCTCCAGCAACCCAGAATGATCATGATCACGACTTCTTCCCTCTCCAGCCGGGACATCCAAGTGTTCCCAGCCCCTCGAAGAGCCTCCAGGAGTCGGGGTCACCCACCCAGAAGGGAGGGAACCCCAAAAGGGCTCGTCTACCCCAACTGAAGAGGCTTCAGTCCGAACCCTGGGGTCTCCTTGCCCCTTCTGTGCGTCAGGAGGAGGCCCCTGGCCCAGGCGTGGACAGCGGGGTCATCATGAGCAAGGGTGACATGGCCTTCCCCAAGAGGGGACCCCTCTCCAGGACCAGCAGCATGGATGGCAAAGAGCAGGGCCTCAGGCTGGCAGCCTCCTCACCGTCAGCCTCCTGGAAAGGGCAGGCTTCTCAGCCACTGCTAGCCAGGCTAGGGCCCCTTCCTGCTGACCCAGAGAAGGGGGGCATGTGTCTGCCAGGGCCCCCTGCTCTTAAAGAGATCGCCTCCTTCAAAAGGCTAGAAAATGACTTGGATTTATCACCAAAGGCCAACTCTCCTGCCTCCATGGCCCCTGAGGCCAGCAAGGGTCTCCTGGATAGAAAGAAGTGGGGTGAGACACCCCCGCCTCTGTTCCACGGCTCTCGGGACTCGCTGGACACCGTGGCCAGCACCTCTCCCATGTCCGTGTGTCGCAGGCATCCCCATCTTCTGGAAAGACGAGGCTCGGGGACTCTGTTGCTCGAGCGCTTTTCTCCTGCGAGGCCTGGCTTCCTTCCACCTCTAAATGTCAACCTCAACCCCCTGATTCTGGATGGGAGGGCCGGCGGCAAGACCTCGTCCCCCCTCCTCACCAGCGGCCTGAAAACGATGCTGCCCGCGGCCCCACAGTCTCCCAAGACAGTGGAGTCGAGAAATAAGAAGCAGCTGCTCCGAAGGCATTCCATGCAGGCCGAACAGATGAGGCAGCTAGCTGTCTGACTTTGAGGAGATCATGATCTAGAAGCTTCCAGAAAAAAATATCTTCTTTCCTTCTTCCTTCCCCTGCTGAATCTATGGAGTTTAGGGAGGAGACACCAAAGCCTAAACCAACACCGTACAAGCAGATTCTCTAAGTCTGGGCCATTTCTTTGCCTTGGCTTTGCTTTTAGGAGTTTGTTTTTAAGAGTAAGATTGTGAAATACCCCTGGTGGTAGTGGACCTGTTTGAAAAGATCTCAAGGCCTGGCACTGGTGGTTTATCCTGTAATCCCAGCTACTCAGGAGACTGAGAACTGAGGATCACCATTTAAAACCAGCCAAGGCAGGAAAGTCTGTGAGACTTATCTCCAGTTCATCACCAGATGGTATGGAGTTGTGGCTTAAGTGGTAGAGCACTTGTCTTGAGTAGAAAAGCTCAGGGACAGTGCCCAGGCCCGGAGTTGAAGCAGACAAAAAAAAAGAAAAGGGAAAAAAAGGAAAGAGCTCAAGATATTTGGCTTTGGGAGCTGAAATGACAACAAAAAGGAAATTCTCTAAAGGAAGAAAGCATTTAGAAAGCCTGTACAAAGATATCAGCTGTGGACAAAGGGACTTTCTGTCATGTGAATAAGTAGATTAAAATTTAAATTTGGAATGTGTGATTAAAATCTGGAAAGTGCCTAAAAAGAGAAAACTGAGGCTTTGTGAGAATGAACCAGGGCCTTGCTAGTCAGGAAGCTGAGATCTGAGGCTTGAGGTTCAAAGCCAGCCCAAAGCAGACAAATCTATGAAACACTTAGCTCCAGTGAACTGGCAAAAAATCAGAAGTGGAGGTAGGGCTCAAGTGGTAGAGTACCAGGCTTGAGTAAAAAAGCTAAAGGACAGTGCCCAGGTCCTGAGTTCAAGCCCCAATACTGACACACACACGCACACACACACACACACACACACACACAACCACACACACACACACACACAACCACACACACACACACACAAAGAAGCAAAGAAACTTTTCATAGTCCTCTGCCCTAACACAGGTTTTGTGTTGAAATCTTCTGAAAAGAAAAAAAACCCAAAGCTTACTATTGGAGTAGAACATGTAATAATGGACATAATACTAGGTCCACAAGAAGCAACTCCAAAGTATTTTTAAGAGAATTTGATGCAGTTCACCCAAATCAGGGACAAATGGCATGGATTAAAATTTATGCTTCAGTGGCTGGAAGAAGTGAGGATCATTTCATTTTTAGCCTGAAAATTCTACATGCTTGGGGCTGGGAATATGGCTTAGTGGTAGAGTGCTTGCCTAGCCTGCATGAAATCTTGGGTTCAATTCCTTAGCACCTAATAAAAATCTGGAAGTGGCACTGTGGCTCAAGTGGTAGAGTGCTAGTCTTGAGCAAAAGAAGCTCAGGGACAGTGCCCAGGTCCTGAGTTCAAGCCTTAGGACAAGCAAAAAAAAAAATTCTACATGATTAAAAACTACCTCCTGCTTCAGTTTATCAGGGGTAATCTGGGCCTGTGGCTCATGCCTGTTATCCCAGCTATTCAGGAGGCTGAGATCTGAGGACTGAGGTTCAAAGCTAACCTAGGCATAACTATCTCTAATGAACTACCAAAAAGCCAAAAGTGGATGTATAGCTCAAGTGGTAGAGTGCCAGGCTAGAGCATAAAAGCCAAGTTGAGAGCTTGAGACCCTGAGTTCAAGTCCCAGTACTCATACGCATGTGTGTGCATGCATGCACACACATGCAACACATACACACACACACAACACATCATAACCTGTACAACTCCTTTAAGATACTTGGAGCAAACACATTTGGTGCCAGGGAACCACATTTCAGATGAAAATATTTGAGGAATTTCCTGTTTCTGCCCCCTCTTACTTTCTTAAGACATCTTTGCTCTGTAGTTAAAAGTTCAGTAGTCACCATGGAAACACAACCATGGAAAGTGCCAGGTGTCAGGAGTTTTGAGTCAGATGTGGGCTTACATCCTACTTTTATTATTATTATTATTTTTTGGGTCCGGTTGTGGGGCCTGAACTCTGGGCCTGGGCGCTGTCCCTCAGCTCTTCAGCTCAAGGCTAGCACTCTACCACTTGAGCCACAGCGCCACTTCCGGCTTTTTCTTTTTTGCTTATGTGGTGCTGAGGAATCGAACCCAGGGCCTTGAGCATGCAAGGCAAGCGCTCTACCACTGAGCCACCTTCCCAGCCCCCTACTTTTATTATTGACCAACTAGCTATGCTTCTCTGAGCCTCAGTCTCATCGTTAAAATGAGATTAACAATATTTCTGCCAAGTGCTGGTGGCTTACGCCTGTCATCCTAGCTAATAAGGAGGTTGAAATCTGAGGATCCAGGTTCAAAGCCAGCCCTAGCATGAAAGTCCATGAGGCATTTATTTTCAATTAAACACAAGAAAACTGGAAGTGGCACTATGGCTCAAAGTGGTAGAGTGCTAGCCTTGAGCAAAAAAAACCTTCAAGGGCAGTGCCCAGACCCTGAGTTCAAGCCCCCTGACCAACAAAAATGAAGACAAAACAACCACAAAACCAAAATCAATATTTCCTAGGTTATAATACACATGAAACAGCACTGCGTGCAAAAGGGCCTGCTTTTCTGTCTGGCACTGGTAGAAATGATAAGCTATCAGGTAGCTAATTTTATTTCTTGAGCCTCAAAATCAAATAATGAGTAATACGCCCTGAACAAAATGGAATAAAATGGAATAAAGTCTAGCTAGAAGTCCCTAGAGTCCAGATTCTCAGAGATTCTATACATCTCAATTGCCCTCAAACAAAAAAACCCATATTGTCACAAGAAGCTTTTACACACACACACACACACACACACACACACACACACACACACACACACACACACACACCTTTTTGTAAACACAGCAAATCTCTGGGGTGAACTGTAGCATTTCTGGCCTCCTCTCACTGATGACAGCAGTTCCCTGGCCCCCAGCCTGACATCTCTAGACAGGTCAGATTTGGGGGGTGTGTGGGGAGGAGAGGGGAGACTTATCACCTCCGCTGATCTCCAGTACTCCTGAGAACTGCTGTGTGAGTGGTAAAAATATGTCAAGAATGATGAAGCCAATTAGAGGCGTGGCCTTCTGGATTTTTAGAAAACTCACACAGGCACAAACTTGAGTCATCTTTTTCTTTGTGCCAGAATCATCTTGTTCTTTGGGCTTGAACTCAGGTCCCTGTGCTTTTATGCTCATGGTTAGTGCTCTACCACTTGAGCCACAGCTCCACGTCTGGCTTTTTGGGTGATTAACAGGGATAAGAGTCTCATGGACTTTTCTGTTCTGGGCTGGCTTTGAAGCACGATCCTCAGATCTCAGCCTCCTGAGTAGCTGGGCTTACAGGCATGAGCCACCAGTCCCGGGGACTAAAAGTCTTTCATTGTCCTTTGCATGAGGGACAAAAATGAGGGGCTACGAAGGTGGCTCAGTGGTAGAGCGCTTGCCTTGCATGTATGAGGCCCTGGGTTCGATTCCTCAGCACCACATAAAGCAAAAAGGAAAAGAGCCAGAAGTGGTACTGTGGCTCAAGTGGTAGAGTGCTCGCCTTGAGCTGAAGAGCTAAGGGACAGCGCCCAGGCCCAGAGTTCAGGCCCCATGACCGGATCAAAAAAAAAAAAATGAGATGAAAAGCATATTTTTGCATGAGGGACAAAAATGAGATGGAAAGCATATACGTAGTAAAAATCTACAACCGATACGCTTTTCAGAGCCATTAATTAATTCTGTGTGTGCGTGTGTGCATGCACACATACACCACTACTGGGGCTTGAACTCACGGCCTCACACGCTCTTGTTCAGCTTTTCTTGTTCTACCACTTGAACCACAGCTCCACTTCCGGTTTTTTGTTTGTTTGCTCATTTGTTTTTGTGGGTATTTTTGTTGGTTAATTGGAGATGAGAGGCTCATCACCTTTCTGTCTGGGCTGGCTTCTAATTGTGATCCTCAGATCTCAGCCTCCCGAGAAGCTAGGATGACAGGCGTGAGTCACCAGCACCTGGCCTAAGAGCCATTTAAATTGTTCACAAGTCTTATCAAGAAGCCAAAATGAAGGGAAAGAAACAACTTCTACAGAAAATCAAATGTTTTTAGTCAGTCAACACACACACACACACACACATACATAGAGGCTACCTTTTTTCTGGTTATCATTGCTCACTACCTTGTGAGCAATATTGAGCTATAGGAAAAGCAAGACTCTTTGTAGGCATGTTTTTCTAAACCTTTACTTGAGATCTTGACACCTGCTTTATCCTGAACAGTGGCTAGCTACATTCATAGTAATCAGCTTGGGTGATGTGGAGTAGATTCAGGGTAACTGGTCCACCACACAAACACAGATGCCCAGATACCCCATCGATCAGTCGTGATCTTTCCATATACCTGTCTCTGGAAGCCTGTCATCATTGATGCATTGCTGAGTTAGACTGTTCTAGATGAGTACAATGACCCACATATTTTTTATGTAATCACAGGTGATTCTTAAGTAAGCAATTATTCTGTCTGTGTCAACAAACCCTGTAGGAATGCTTTTTCAAGAGCATATTTTAGATTCTCACATGCTTTCTAGATCCAAAGTTAGATTTTTTCCTCTGGCAACTCCCAAGTCACTCTCTACATTGAATATCAACCCTAGTTTCAGTGAAATTTGGTATAGTTTCTAGATATTCCAAAGAGCCCTCCTCCTCCTCCTCTTTCCCCTTCTTTTCCTCTTCCTCCTCCTCTTCCTCCTCCTGACATGGGCCATTGTCTATTTTCGTCTGACTTTGTTGAGTCCCTGTGGGTCGTGTCTGATTATTCTCCTGGTTTGCATTGGTGCTTTAGGCGTCTCTGTGCTGTCTGAATTGGTTCTCCACAGGACTCTGTCTTAGTCTCAAGGGAGGAACTGCTCCAAGATATAGCAGCGTCCTCATAAGAAAACTGGGATGTTTCTAATACATCAATAAAATATATATTGCAATCCTTAAATCTGCCT